TTCTCTTCTCTTCTCTTCTCTTCTCTTCTCTTCTCTTCTCTTCTCTTCTCTTCTCTTCTCTTCCTTATTCTCTTCTCTTCTCTTCTATTTTATTCTATTCTATTCCATATTCTATTCTATTCTACAGGTAGTCCTTGACTTACAACTGTTTATTAGTGACCGTTCGAAGTTACAACGGCACTGAAAAAAGGGACTTATGACTGTTTTTCACACTTATGACCATTGCAGCATCTCCATGGTCCGGCGATCAAAATTCAGGCATTTGGCAACTGATTCATATTTATGACGGTCGCAGTGTCCCTGGGAGTCCTTTTGCAACCTTCTGACAAGCAAAGTCAATGGGGAAGCCAGATTCACTTTAACAACCATGTTACTAACTTAACAGCTTGTGTGATTCACTTAATGAACTGTGGCAAGGAAGGTTGTAAAATGGGGCAAAATTCACTTAATGTCTCTCTCGGCAACAGAAATTGTGGGCTCAACATACGATCGTAAATCGAGGACTACCTGCATTTTGGAAATTGTGCTTTTTATGGCTTAGCCGTATTGTGAGCCAGGTGGCTTACTTAACAAACTGTAGTTAAAACCAGCAATATCCTAATGCTCAAAGGTGCACGCTTACACATCCTTTGCTGTTTAAACTAAGCTATTAACTGGGAGAAAAGCCAAATAATTCTGGCAACTGACTTCTTGGAGACTTCAAGAATAGCTTCAAGAATAAATGTCTTTAAAAACACATCTGCACTGCATTTGTATTTTTAGTGGAGGGTAATATGATCCTAAAAACAGATGGGAGGTTAAATGAAGTTATTCAGTTTCTTTCTGATTTCGCAGTGAGTTTTCTCATCCTGGCTTCTCATACTTCCATATATTCTTGACTAGCTATGGAGCCAAACGTTTATTTGGTAGTTGCTCTCTTGCCAGTCTCACAAACTCCTTGTATTCAACCGCTTAATGGCCTCCCCACCCCCTGATCCAAGCAGAAATATATCTCTGTGTGTGTACATATGCACAAAAAAGTGTATATATCTATATTTATATATACAGAAAGTGAATATTGGCTTGTCCTGAAACGGATCGGTATAACCAAGAAAAAGGAAGAGCAGCAGTGTCTGTTCCTGGATCTCTGAATCCTGCTGGTCGCTGGTTTGAAGGTTAAATTGGATTTCAGGTCTCGCTGTATCTAAGAGACAAAATACATGGATTCATGATTGATATACTGCACTGCATCTTATTTCAGGCAAATAATCAAGGGGGATTCAGTGATGCTATCTAAGCAACTGGTGATCATCATCACCATCATCTTTTAATCCCTTGCCAGATGGAGTCTGGGCAACTGAATGGAGCTGAGTGTTTAATGGCCGGATGCCCTTCCTGTCACCAATGCGGAGTTTTGTTTGGCAGATACATTCTCATTGTACGCAGAGAGAGAAATATCTGCCTCTACCTAGGATTAAACTCACAACCTCCTGATTATGAGGCGAGCACTCCACCTCTAGGCCACTGCACACCTCTCTCTCTATAATTTTGTTGCATGATCCAATATATATAACCTCAGAAAACATATATATATATATATATTTTACCAAATACAGGGAGTTCCCGACTACAGATTGGATCATGCAGCAAAATTCCCTTCAGTTCCAGAGAATTACTATTGGCTGGATTACCCCATGCACTTTGCCTTTGCGAACTTACTCCTGGTAAAAGTAGTCCTTGACTTACAACGGTTCATATAGTGACCATTCAAAGTTACAATGATTATTTTTCACATTGACGACCAATTTTTCACACTTATGACCGTTGCCACATCCCCACAGTCACGTGATCAAAATTCAGACACTTGGCAACCGACTCCTATTTATGACAATTTATGACAGTCGCAGTATCCCGGGATCATGTGATTCCCTTTTGCGACCTTCTGACAAGCAAAGTCAACGGCGAAGCCAGATTCACTCAACAACCATGTCACTAACTTAACAACTGCAGTGATTCACTTAAGGACTGTGGCAAGAAAAGTCACAAAATGGGGCAAACTCACTTAACAAATGTCTCCCTTAGCAACATAAATTTTGGGCTCTACTGTGGTTGAAAGTTGAAGGCTACCTGTACGTACATAAATTAAAGCATTTCAAGATTAGATCCGCAGATCCTTATTCTTAAAAGAAATATTAATGTTTAAGAATTATATTTGAAATAATTGAAATGAAACAAGAGGATGTTAAGATTGAGATTAATATTAGAAATCAGGATTAATTTGTTTGTTTTTTTCTGTAAAAGTTTGAATGGAAAAGGTAATAATAGAATTAAGGAAAAATTGGATAAGATAGGAAGTTGAATGTAAAAAATGAATATATAACTATTGTCATATTTGCATGTAAAAGTGATGACCCGGAAATACGTTGTCCACTGAAAAGAGCCTTTTAGTATCTGCAGTGTGAAAAATTGAATAAAACTTGCTTTAAAAAAAAAAGATTCGATCCGCAGATCCATCCTCTGAGGAGCTTTCTGAATCCCCAACCAGAGTTGCACAGCAGATGGTTTGTGGACTCAGCTGTGATGCTCGAGGGTGGGGGGTGAGCTCCCTGTCATTTTACACCTCATGTGCATTGTGCAGAGTTCTCATGAGGATAAATGAGGCAAGCAACCAGACAGTATTTTATTACGCTGAAAATAAACATGTCAGGTCACTGTTTTATTTTCAGGTCTGGCCTGCTCCCGAGATTGTTTCATGAAAAATTGCACATGCAGCTCGTTCTTAAACAGCTTTCCCATGTTCGGACTGGATAACCGAAATCGAGCGTAGTGCGGATGACACATACATACATACATGGGTTACCTGTTTTGCAACATGCAGCTGAATTTGGGGTGGCTTGGTAGGCGTATTTGCCCCATGATGCTAAGCGTGAAGGATCTTCAAAGAAAGAATACGAGACTTCCTCTGCAGAAAACAATATGGGCAGCCCAACTGGATCATAAAGAAATATATATATTGTTGGCTAGGGAAAAAAATTCACCTGAAGGCCGATGAATGGGGACAGCCATGGAATGCTGATGTGATCATGTTAATCCAGTTAATTAAGTTAATCGTTAATCCAGTCTTGAGACAATAGTAAACCTCTCATAACTATAGCTATTTATATATATGTATATGGTTAGATATAGTTGTATATGCATAACTGCAGTTATATATGATAACTATAAGCTATAACTGGTAAAAAGAATAATGAGGGGTGACATGATAGCGATATTCCAGTATTGGAGGGGCTGCCCCAAAGAAGAGGAAGTCAATCTATTCTCCAAAGCACCTGAAGGCAGGATAAGAAACAATGGATGGAAACTGACCCAGGAGAGAAGCAACTTAGAACTAAGGAGAAATTTCCTGACAATTGGAACAATTAATCAGTGGAAAAGCTTCCCTCCAGAAGTTGTAGGTGCCCCATCACTGGAGGTTTTCAAGAAGAAACTGGACAGCCACTTGTCTGAAATGGAACAGACTCTCCTGCTTGTGCAGGGAGTTGGGCTAGATGACCTTCAAGGTCCCTTCCAACTCTGTTCTATAGCCAACAAAACAGACATGTACTAAATGCTCTCTGATTGAAATTGATGGGAAACTAAATATTGGTAATCTGTGGGGCTAGAACTCACTGTCTCCTGATGATTGGCCCAAAGTCATCCTGTCAGCTTTCATGCCCAAGGCAAGATTAGAACTCAGTCTCCTAGCTTCTAGCCTGATGCCTTAACCACTAGGCCAAGCTGGATCAAGATAATATAGGCTACATATACGGTACAATCTTAGACTCCCTGGAAATAAGCTTTTACGTATTTAATTCAACAAGACATACTCCTGAATAGGAATACAAATCTCCAAATATTTAAGGAGAATGCATTCAACTGGAAAAAATATGGAGGTATGGCTCCCTCAAATTTGGGAGATGGAAACCCACAAGATTTGCCAAGGATGGATACCTCTGCTTTATTATATGTCAAAAACTCACAGGGCTACATGTTTTCGTTCAAATCATTCTTCTTGGCCAAATAATTCCCTCTTTATAGTTTGCAAGCCCAGGCAACTGCAGGTTAAAACATCCCCTCAACTCTCTTTTATTGATCACTGATCACAGGAAAGGATACAGAGGCAGCAATGATCTTCGCAGGCTGGTTAGGGAAAGATTTCTGACAGGGACACAGGGACGCCGCAGGTGTAAGACTCAATGCACCTGTGAAACCTCTTTCTACTAATTCATCTGGGATGAACAGATTGACTCGTTCACCAGTCACAAGGTGGATTTTATCACAGGATGGGACTACAGCCCTGAATTCTGACCTGGGAGGGAGGGAGGAAGGAAGGAGTGGGGTTAAATGGAGATGGAAAACAGAAGGAAATAAATTATAAATAAATAACAGATTAGTGAAAGATCACCCTTTTGTAATAATCCTTTTCACATATGTTGGGAAGCATCAAATTTGGAGACCTATTGCTCATCATATTCAAAGGGTGACAAGTTGAGATGGAGTTCACTCACTTGATTTTCAGTTTACATTTTAAAAAATCAAGCTGTTAAAAGTAGCAAACTCTTCATAGATAAATGTGGATGAATTGCTGTGTAGAACAGATTCAGCTATCAGAACAATTGAAAAATTGTTTCATTGTATGTTAGTTGAATAATTATCTTAATTAATGGGAGATGAAAGATTGTAAAAGAGAAAAAAAAGAATGCATTAGTTAGCAAGAAAATGCAGTCATTTGTTTTATTTCAGTACACCAACGGCTCAAAATTATTCTGCAGCACAGTGGCATAGAAATATATGTATTTTAAAATCACACTTATTTAACCATCTCATTTTTTTTTGATAAAATGCATAGCTTGGTTTATAGCATCATGAAAGCATAATTTTCAAGGATAAAATTGTGTAAGAATCAAACTTTTTTTTTAAAAAAAAGGAGTAGCAAATGAAGAGCCAACCCAGAATGTTTCTCCCGTAGTGAGATATGTAAGTCTCAGTTGCGTGGACCTAAGGATTCCGAAGGAGAATGCCCCTTACCGGGTTTCAAACTATTAAGAAGAAAGTTTGGGCAAGCAAATTTCCTCTATGCCAGGATCCTTTAGAGCTGATTTACTTATTTCAAGTTATAGCCAGGCTTTCCCCCCATCTGGCATTAATTAACAGATTAGGCTGATGGTATATAAATATGCACAATTCAGGCTCCGCAATACAGCAAAACTGTAGAGGGTCTCCTGCTTGAGCAAGGGGTTGGACTAGTAGACCTCCGAAATCCCTTCCAACTGTGTTATTCTGTATTCTGAGAACTGAATGCAATGAAATTTCATTTTAATGTATGCTGATTAGTATACGTTTAAAATGACATTGAAGTTGTCTTCCAAGGTCCCTTCAGATTCTATTCTGTTCTATTCCCTATTCTATTCTATTCTATTCTATTCTGTTCTGTTCTGTTCTGTTCTGTTCTGTTCTGTTCCGTTCCGTTCCGTTCCATTCCTTATTCTATTCTATTCTATTCTATTCTATTCTATTCTATTCTATTCTATTCTATTCTATTCTATTCCATTCTATTCTATTCCCAATTCTATTCTATTCTCTCTTCTATTCTGTTTTCTTTTCTCTTCTCTATTCTATTCTATTCTATTCTATTCTATTCTATTCTATTCTATTCTATTCTATAGCTCTAACTGTCAGGAAATTTCTTCTTAGTTCTAAGTTGCTTCTCTCCTTGGTTAGTTTCTACCCATGGCTTCTTGTCCTGCCTTCTGGTGCTTTGGAGAATAGCTTGACTCCCTCTTCTTTGGGGCAGCCCCTGAAATATTGGAACACTGCTATCCTGTCTCCCCTAGTCCTTCTTTTCATTAAACTAGCCATACCCAATTCCTGCAACTGTTCTTCAGTCCCCTAATCATCTTGGTTGCTCTTCTCTGTGCCCTTTCTAGAGTCTCAACATTTTTTTTACAAAAAAATATTTTGAAAAAAAAATCTTTTCTATTCTATTTATTTTTTATTATTCTATTCTATTCTATTCTATTCTATTCTATTCTATTCTATTCTA